TTGCTGGCTCTGAGAGCCTCGGCGTTAGAGCAGGGTCTGCGCTGGGATAGTAGAGTGATTGCATGAAGCTGGGGGGTGGGGAGCGCTGCAACGAGGGTGCGTGCTCCAATCTCAGGAATATTCCGTGAACGTGATATACCCTCTTGATTTTAGAGCAAGGGAACCACTAGGACTTTAGAGTAGGAGGCGCGCACAGCCCGAGAACAGGTTTGGAGAGGTGACGCGGTGCGCTCTGGAAAGCAAAAGGGTGTCAAGAGGTGGGGCTCTCTGAAGAGAGGGAAGAAGAGGGCCAAAACCCCTTGGCTTACTCACAAGAGGCTTGGGGAGGGGTAGGAACAGCTGGAAACTGATATCACCTCCCCCAGCGGGTGCCAAGAGCCGGAGGCGTCAACCCAAAGCTTTCCGGGTCCTTGCGCCTGCCGCGCCCTGCACTCTCCAGCTTTACGCACAGGCTTGGCTTGCCTTCCGGCCCCGTGAGAAGGGCAGGGAAACTCCAGCCGCCTCTCTGGAGGGCAGACCATTTTCCATGGCCAAGAGGCTTTATGCCAGAGGCTCCTAAGGGCAGAAGAAGCTAGAGACCAGGGTTCTTTGTGAAGGCGAGGAACAGTCTGGAATGGCAATGTCCAGGCCTGGAGAGGGGCGCACAGCCTGGCGGGCGGGTGGCAAGACCTCTGAGTTAATGTATAATTGTGAGCAGATGGCAGGGGTTGGCGGCAGCCTGGGGCCTGGGCCCAGCTAATGAGGGACAATTAGCCCTGAACCCGGTGGGGGCGGTTGAGAGAGTCAGACAGTGAAGGTAGATATTTGCTTCTCAAACAGTCTGGAGCACTGGGCAGAGGGCTGAGTGGCTGGGCCTTTGGGCCTGCTAGGCCCCCCTGTCAGGGCCCTTCCCTCATTTTCCTGCCCCCATCAGCTTTGGGTGGAAGGCCTCTGTTTGTTCAGACCCAGAGCTGGTTGTCAAGGCGGGGAGGAGGGGGTGGTTTATGGGGGTAGTTGCTGCCATCACCATCTGCCAGTGCTTGTGCCTTCTCCCCCCTACACCCCTATCCCCACCTTCATGCAGCTGTCTATGGGAGCAGTGGGTCAAGGCTTGGTGCCTTGGGTAGGTCCAGGGGAATGGGTAAGGCAGGGGAAGGGGACTAAGACCAGGCTCCCAGGGTACCACATGCCTTCCTGGGGACCTCCTCTTCCCCAGGCATGGCTGGACAGAGTGGCCGGCAGTGCCCCACTGCTGGGGTTGAATGGGCTCTACAGGCCCTGAAGCGTGTGCAGTTCTGCCCATGGTGCTGAAATCTCCTGCTGTAGCCTCTCCCCAGGGCCTGAATAGAGGAGGCTGGGAGAGGCTGGGAGAGGACGCGTGTGTAGGGGAGCATATGTAGGCACAAGACAGCAAACCCACTTCTTGACACATTTGGTCTTGTTTTGAGAACAAGAGTCCCCAACTCTAACATCAAGCTGAATGCACAACACCCATCCCCCATCCCCCCCCAAATCAAAGCATTTCCCAATGAAATCCTTTCTTCCCTCTTCTGACCTCAGAGTCTAGTCTTACTGTCCCACTCCCTACTGACTTGTAGCCTGACTTCTGTGAGGGCTTCACAGAATCTGGGCATGGAATGGACCCAGGGCATTTCCCATGTCTGCTCCTTCATGTCCATGTGAAATGTGCCCAAGATGATGTCAGCAACACAGCTTCCATACAATGGGACTATGTCTTCCTCCCAGCATCCCTGCTGGAACCACCCACCCAACTCCTGGAGTCCCCTACCCTACCAATGACCTCAAAACAGTGACACAGATGATGTGTGAGTTCGTTTATGGCAACACGAGCATCACTAATAGAGACTAAAAGCACCAGTCCTTGGAAGAATTGAGCCTCATAACATCTAGAGATGGGAGAAGTAACAACAGGCTGCACAGCTCTTCATAAATACCCATATGCATCTCTAATTACCCTCAGAGGCTCATCCCACCTCTGCCACCATTGTCAGTGCTACATAGTCCAGGATCCCCCTGTTCCCAGGTGAGAACTTGATCTCAGCATCACCTCCATAAAGGAACCAACTGGAGAGTCAGTGAGGATATCCTCTGGGGAGAACTGGTGCTATGTAACACACCCCCTTGCACCCTCATTCTCTCAGAGTTTTAGGGGCCTCCTTGGTCAGTATTGATGTCAGGCTACATATCCAAGGATTGTGAGGCTTACTCAGGACCGGGCAGTGCTGTTCATAGGGTCTCTATGAGTCGGAGCTGACTCGACAGCACCTAACAACAACAACAACAACAACAACAACATACATACATACATTTATCTTTTATGGTGATACATACATGGCCCAGAAGTTAGCCCCAAATCCTAGGCACGTGCATTCTGGCTGGAATCTCTGTCTGTGGGTTTGGAAGAGGGCTTTGTGCCCTATGTCATTCACAGCTTTGAGGACACATTTTGAATTGCCACCTTCCATGTTCCCTATCTCCCTCAATAATGGCACCTGAGAGGATGCACTCTGAGTCTGGGGGGCCTGCATGAGAGTGGCTCTGGACCAGCTTTAGGGTGCTAGGTGGGCACCCGGTGGACTCTGAGGAGTCACCATGGAAGGACACAGTGGGCTGTAGCTGTGGTTTGCCTCAGGGCCAGTGTCAGCCAAACCCATATTCACCTCCCTCCTCCTCTCTCCTCTGCTCATGGCCTGTGACATCACTGGCTGCTCCCAGAAGGCTGCCCTCTGCTCCTGAGCACAGGCTCTTGGGAGCTCTGGACCCCCTGGCAGGACAGAAGCAGGAGCAGACAGTGGAGGCTGTCACCAGGACCAGACCACCACCCTTGGAGCCAGCAGGGGGGCTCAGGACCCTGGCCAAAGCCACGGAGAGCCTGCCACTGCAGCTCCCACCCGGTTGCCTACACACAGGTAGCTCACCTGCAGGCTCATTGTCTGCTCTGCCTCCTATGCTGTTCCCTGCTCTTTGTGTAGCCAAGCCCAGCTTCTCTCTGTCTTTGCTGCTACCTGGTCTCCTGCTCCTCCATCCCCTGTCCTTCTTTCCCACTTCGTGAGCATCAGTTATTTTATCAGGCAAGTTCATATGCCCATTGGAGACTGTGTGTGATGATCTGAGAACAGGGTTTCTGTTTGTGAGTTGGGGTATGGGGAGGATTTAGGTTTGGACCTAAAAGCCCATGGCTCTGCTCATTTAGGTGGACAGATTGCTACCAAAGAATCAGGGTTTGGCTACTATTCTATCCTCCCTCCCGCTGTCCTGGCATACATAGCCCTGCATGTCTCCAGCTTGACTCCCCTCTCTCTACTGCTTTGGTGGCAAGCACACAAACATGAAGCCAGGGTAGGGGCCGAGAAAGAGAGCCCCAGGATTAGGAGATGGAAATGTTGGCTTCTGGTGAGGACCTACCTCCTAAACTTCTCTGAGTTTAACTTCCTGGGTGGCACCTGACTTGTGGGAACCCCAATCGGTGCCTCAGTTGTTTCTTTTGAAAAACCTCTGTCTTCCTCCCTGACTTTCTGGAAACATGAGAATTGGGAGGTGGAGTGTGTCTCTACTTGCCTGAAGATGAATGAGTAAAAAACAGTTTAACCATTGAACTTAAAAACCAAGCTCTGGTTTCCATACTCTGTGAGTTCATTGTTGCTTTACCTCTGCTAGTCTCCTCTCCGCATTGCACTGTAAACTTTCGGAGAGCAAAGCTCTTGTCCCTTTCATTTTTACTTCCTTTCTTTTGAACAATCAACAGGGTACTCATGATTAATACCTTATTCACTTAATACTTGGAGATCTGTTAACTGAGCCAAGATGGCATGGTTATTGCAGGAAAGTTCTATGGATAAGCAGCTTCCAGGGATGACCTCCAGCCCTGCTGGAGTTCCAGGCTTGAAAGGAACTAGCTTAGATTCCCATGAAATGCTGGTGAAACAAGAAAGATATGGTGGCCTGTGACCTGTGTCTCTTGCTACTCCAGAGACTCTCTTGTGCTCATGATGGCTTCTGTATCCATCAGCAGACAGCTTTCCCCTGCTTCTCATGCCTTCCCTTCAATGTGTCTTCAGTAAATGCTTTGTTGAGTGCATGAGTGTATGATCCCAGAGAGGTGGTCCCTAAGAATGCAGTCTCACTGTGAGATCTAGGATTCTTTAGAGTTCACAGGAACCAAAACCCCCAGCAGGTTAGAAGCTGCCAAGAAACGTGTCTTACAGGAGAAGCCAAGACTTCACCTTGTTCATCTCTACTTCTGGTTTGTGGGACCAAGCCCCAATGCCTGGGGCTACAGCTGAGCCCTGTGACCCCCTGCAGTGCTTGGAAGGAAGTGTTCTGGATGGTGGTTTGGAGAATCTATCTCAGGAGCTGCCTGATAGTGAAGGCAGAATTCTGAACTTGGGGTTTCCAGCCTTGAACCTGAACAACTTAACCTTTGGTCATTGATGCTCTGCCCTGGCTAGTTATGTTTTTTTTCTCTATTGAATCTGAGCTTAAGAGGCAGGAGCCTTGGTCCTAGTGTGTCAGCCAGGGCTGACAAGAAGGTCTATATGAAGGATCAGAGGCAATACTTGTCTGTTTGGAAAGCCCTTTTTAGGTGGTGGTTGCCTGGGCATTCAAAAGCATCATTCCCTTTCCACTTTCCTGACCTGTGTCATGGATGAGTGGGAGGTGAAAGCCCTCCCAGACTCCCAGTCCTTTATCCAGACACCTAGAATGATATAATCCTCAGCAGGTATTTAATATATGATGTTTAGTTCATCACAGAAAAGTTTAAATAAAGCCAAGTCTAATTTTCTTTAATTAGATGATCAACTGGCAAATTTTAGAAACTTGGCCCTCTACCACAAAACATTACACCCCAAGACCATTTCAAGCTAGAGATTTTACCCATATAACCTCCTATTATTGCAGGCTCATCTCCAAGGCTGGAGAAGGAACTCCTACAAGGAGCTCTCATTCACAGTCCTCCCAGGTAGTTCCTTGTGCTGGGGAGAGGCAGGTTGGCCTGGAGGATGCAGCAGGACGGTAAGATGCCTGGGAGAAGTGAGAGGAACAGGGAGGAGTGTTCAGGGAAGGGAACATCCTCCTAGGCTCCTCCTAGGAGGTCTTGGGGTGGAAGAGAAGGGAAGAATATGGAGGAAGACAATGAAAATAGGAATATTCTGAGTATGGGATAGGTTCATCTCTCCAAATTTTTTCCTCTTTGGAAGAGCAGGCAATGAATGATGATGGAGTGGAGGTGGACATGTTTGTTTTTTAAGCACTCCACTAGTAAACGTTGGTGGTTTGAACCCACTCGGAGGCACCTTGGAAGACAGGCCTGGTGATCTGTTTCCAAAAGATGACAGCCTTGAAAACCCTAGGGAGTAGTTCTACTTTGTATTCATAGGGTCACCATGAGTCAGAATCTACTTGATGGCAACTAACAACAACAACAACAGGAGATGCTGCCATTTCCACAGTTTCTTTTGCTCTTGGCCAATGCTCTGGGGGAAGCTTTGTCTAGTTACTCCCTCCTTGTTCCCCTCTTTAGACCAGGAAGGCCAGCACATATGGCCAAGGAGCTAAGATTCACCTGTAAGCCAACTTCCAAAGAAAATGTTTTGTGAAACCTGGGGGCAGAAGGAGAGCAGACTCCTGGGGGAGGACTTTCTGAATGGTGGGAAGCCAAACTAGAGGAACTTGAGTAACCTCTCCCAGGTGGGGTCCTCCATGCCACAGGTGGGTGAGGAGTGGGGAGACATGGTTTGGACGATGCTGCCTTCTTCTGCCAGGGATCAGCAGTGTGAATCAGCTGGGGGGGCTTTTTGTGAATGGTCGGCCCTTACCCCTGGACACTCGACAGCAGATCGTTCAGCTGGCTGTCAGAGGAATGCGGCCATGCGACATCTCACGGAGCCTTAAGGTAGTGTACTAGAAACATGCCCAGGGATAAGGACAAGGAGACAGGAAAAAGTCTGGGGCTTTTCCAGACTCTGGGAGGTCTTTGGGGTCTCAGCTACTTCCTGGAAGACCTCCTTGGAGGTTGGGAAGGGGTGCTGCAGATGTCCAAGGGCGAGGTTGGACTCCCAACTCTGTGGCCTGCTCCAATGAGTCTTGCTTTACCTTGTGGCCTCCTTCTGTCCCAGAAGCACTCACCTTCTGCCCATGTGCTTTACCTGTTCCTGTTTCTCACCTGACCCAGGTATCTAATGGCTGTGTGAGCAAGATCCTAGGGCGTTACTATCGCACAGGTGTCTTGGAGCCCAAGGGTATTGGGGGAAGCAAGCCACGTCTGGCCACACCCCCTGTAGTGGCTCGAATTGCCCAGCTGAAGGGTGAGTGCCCGGCCCTCTTTGCCTGGGAGATCCAACGCCAGCTGTGTGCTGAAGGGCTTTGCACTCAGGACAAGACTCCCAGTGTAAGTGCCCCTTCCTCCACCGGAGCTGGCAAATGGGATGTCTGGGGAGGATGAGGCCCCTGGGTGGTACAAGCCATTTGCACTTGACCACTAAAGTTGGTGGTTTGAATCCACCCAGTGATGACATGGAAGAAAGACCTGGCAATCTTCCATAGGGATCATGGTCAAGAAAACCCTGTGGAGTAGTTCTACTCTACAACACATAAGGTCACCATGAGTCAGAATTCACTTGAGGGCAACAGGTTTTTGTTTGTTTGTTTGTTTGTTTGTTGTTGTTGTTTTGAAAGAGAGTAAGTTTCCTTCTTACCTGACAATGTGGGTACCCAGGTTGGAAGTCAGGGCTCCTGGACTCTCTTGTGATGCAGAATTTTCTCTTCTAAATAGTGGTGGTGAGAGAGATAAGAAAAAGAAAGCACTTGGGGAGAGAGGAGGCTGCCCTTATGAAAGATATGCAGGTGGGGAGAAAGGATACAGGGGAAAATATCATCGGGATGCACCCCTGGCTGGTGCACCATTTCCCCACTCAACACTCCAACGCCCCCAGGTCTCCTCCATCAACCGAGTCCTGCGATCACTACAGGAGGACCAGGGACAGCCCTGGGCACAGCTCCAGCCACCAGGTGGGTCTTGGAGCTGCCTCTGGGATAATCCCAGCCAAGTCTTCAGCATTTTAGTCTTCAAAGCCCTTTTCAGTTCTTTCTTGAATCACCCTCACAACCACCCAATAAGGAGGGCCTGGCAAGGACTCCTGTTCTCTCCTGGTGGAAGAAAATGGAGGTTCAGAGAAGTGAAGTGATTTACCTGAGGTCAGCATGTAGTGGTTACAGGTCCTAGAACAGAGTCCAAGTCCCCTAACCCTTCAGTTCACAAGACAGGCTAAGGAAGAGTCAGAGTTAGACTTTCCACGCCCTCTTCTGCCTCATGTGCAACTTCTCAGAGATTCCTTCAGGTTCTATGAAGTCTGGCAAACTGGATGAAACTTGCTACTTTGCCTCCCAAAGCACTAAGCATGCACCCCACCCTGGAATTGAGCATGTATTCCATCAGGTGCTCTTACAGCCACCTTCCAACTGTAAATGCCCTAGCTACTCACCTCTGCTCTTATACCATGCTCTCCCCCACTGCTGATCCCCATCACTTAGGGATCCATGTGACTAGTGGAATCACAACTACAAAGCACCACAAGCCTTTGCTCTCCTTTGCAGTTGTTTTGAATCCTGTTCCTCCTACTCCTCATAGTGGCTCTGAGGCTCCCCGGGGTCCTCACCCAGGGACTGGCCACCGGAATCGGACTATCTTCTCCCCAGGCCAAGCTGAGGCACTGGAGAAAGGTGCTGGACAGGGCACACAGTGGGTCAGAGGGTCCTGGATGTGACTGGCAGAGACAGTGGTCCTGGGACTGGGTGTGTGGGCAAAGGCTGAGAGATGGGGGCTGTGGGAGGCCCTGCCTTGGGGGGGGGTGGTAGTTTAAGGCTGTAGTAGGTGGGGAGTGGGTCCTGAAGGGAGACTCATGCCTGCTCCTCTCCTCATGTCCTCACTCTGTGAGCCCAATGCCTGCAGAATTCCAGCGTGGGCAGTATCCTGATTCAGTGGCCCGTGGAAAGCTGGCTGCTGCCACCTCCCTACCTGAGGACACAGTGAGGGTGAGTGAGCTTTGTGACATAGTGTGCAAAATGTCGCACAATGCTTTGGGTTCCTATGAGGTGGACAAGGAGGTAAGAAGGTGGAACAGACTCATGGGGCAGAAATCAGAGGTAAGGCCTTCCTTGTCTCTCTTCTGCTGATTGCTGTCCTCTCCCTCCCACATCAAGCCTTTGATTTGATGGAGGGGACAGAGAGCAAAGGCCAGAGCAGGGAGGGAGGACATCAGGTCAGGTACTAGCAAGGGTTTACACTCTGAGTGCATGCCAGGAACATGTGGTGAGGGCAGCAAGTAGCTGGGCAGCAGAGAGCACAACCCACTTCATGGTCCCTGCCGTCAGGTCTGGTTTTCCAACCGAAGAGCCAAATGGCGCCGGCAAGAGAAACTCAAGTGGGAAACACAGCTGCCAGGTGATTTCTCTGCACTTTTATCCATCCATCCACAGTCCATCCATTCCCATCCATCTACTCATTTCCATCCATCCAACCATCAGCAGACATTCATCCCAGCCCATCCACCCATTATCCATCCATCCATCTACCATCCTTCCATCCATTCCATCCATCCATTCAACCACCTATCCCATCCATCTATCCATTCCCATCTATCCATCCATCATCCATCCATTCATCCATTTCCATCCATCTCTCCATTAATCTATCCCCATTCATCCATCCATTCACTAAACATTTACTTATTACCTCTTATGTGCCAGGTGCTGCAGTAGATGCTGAACACACACAGTCCCTGCTCTTAGGGGCTGCACTGTCCCCACTTTACCATCCCTTGGATTTAGTCCTTCCTTTCTGGAGGTTTTCCATCCATCTCTTCCCCCCTGCACAAGAGGTTGCTGCCTTTCCTAGACCCTGCATCTGACCTCTCTGACTCACCATCAGCCATTCTAACCCACACTATCCTCTTTCTGAATGATTCCACTCTCACCCTCTAGGTGCTTCCCAGGGTCAGACTGGACCAAGTGCTTCCCCAGGGATCATCACCACACAGGTGCCCAAGAGGAGATGGAAGTTTGTGAGCTCGGGACACTGAAGGGCTCACTGCCTCCCCTGTTCCTGGTGAAAGCCTGAGCTAGAATTCTCAACTCCCCCTGCCACCCACAGTGCACACTTCCAGAAAGAGCCGTCCCCATAGACTACTCTGGAGTTGTGCAGGATACAGCCTGGGGAGCGGGCAGCCCTGGGGCTCATCCTGCTAACCAGAAGGCACTACTGGAAGCTGAAATCTCCTTTTGATTTTTCTAGCAGCCCCTTGGAAGTGTGTCCACAACAACCCTACCTTCCCTGGAACCCCTGGTTCCCTCCTGCTATCAGTTATGCTGGGGGATAGCACCAGACAGGTGTTTGAGTAACACCCCACCCCAAGCCTGGCTTGAGTCCTGTTGGGGTAAGAATCCAGGCCAGCCCTTCATCCTGGGAGGGATGACTGACTTTGACCCAGAGAAGGGCACAGATCTCCAGTTGAGATCATCAAATGAACCTTGGTACAGCTCTTCTCACTCCTTGCACGGCCATCAGAGTTGAGGAAACTGTACCCCCTGAGCCTACACTACCAATGGCAGCCATAGAAGGAGAAAGGGGGTGGGATTGGGGTTCAAGTGTGTATATTCAAGGTAGAGAGAACCAATGTCTTAGCCCCTCTCCCTTCAGTGATGTTGAGAGGTGGGGATGGGAGCAACAAGCCCAGGCTCACCCACTCTGTGTCCCTGCAGGTCACCTGCCTCCAGAGCCGAGTTCCCTGGATTCAGTTCAGTTTGGCCATCCTTGCCCTTCCTTCCACTGCTCTTGCCACCAGTTTGGTGCCCCCCAAGCTCTTCTCTGGCCTGGCTCCCCACCACTGCAGGCCTGGAATGAGGGAAGGGGACTAGAGTAGCAAGAAGCAGAGGGTAGAATATAATACAGCCTGCCCCAGAAGGTCTGCCCCTTCCTCCCACCTGCCATCTCACCCTCACCTGGGGACCTTGCCTGGCCCTGTCTCACTGCCCCTCCTATGTATCACCTGAGGGGATGGGTTGGAGAAGTGAGGCCCACCCACCTCTCACACCAGACTAAGAAGACTCCTCAGTAATAAAAACTTCTTTTTGAATAGCAGAAGTTCCCGTTGTCTATCTTGTGTTACTCATGCGCACCCATACACCCAACCCTTGTTTGACATTGGTAAAGTTTGCCACGTTGCTCACATGATCACATGATCACATGATCTCTCTCTCTCTGTCTACTATCTATATCTCTCTACTTCCTTCCCTCTTCCCTAACGACCTATCTCTATCATATCTATCTATCTATCTATCTATCTGGGAGCTCTGGTAGCATAGTGCCTGAGGCACTTGACTGCTAACCAGAAGTTTGGTGGTTCAAACTCACCAGCCACTCCTCGGGAGGAAGGTTGGGCAATCTACTTCCATAGTGATACTGCCTCAGGATCGCTATGAGTCGGGTCTGACTTGATGGCACACAACACAACATCTATGTATCTATGTACCTATGTATCTATGTATCTATCTGACATGTGTCTTGGTGTTTGGGTGCTCATACACCCACACACATGCACACACACATACAAACACACACACACAGATATTACATCATGTCACTTCACCCCTAAGCCCTTCAGCACGCATCTCCAAAAATTAGGACTTTCTCATACACAATTACAATACCATTACCACATCTAAGAAGATTTATAATATTGCCTTAATTTAACAGACAATAATTCTATATGTATTTTTCTATAACAGCAAATGGAGTCGAAATGTCATTTTTCATATTCTGCTTTTTCACTTATGCATGCCCCTGGGGTATGTCTGCTTGGTTCTTCTTGGAAATAAGTTCCAAATTTTCTCAATGTGTCCCCCTGCAGAGAAAGCTCTAGGCAACTCCTAGGAAGTCTTAGGATGTAGGCGAAGGGAGGAATATAGAGAAAAGGGAATGAAGAAGAGGTATTCTGAATGGGACATGTTCTCATCTCTCCAAATTCTTTCCCTCTTTCAAAGGGCAGATGATGGAATGATGATGGGGTGGGGGTGTGGTTGGGGTAGACATGGTAGTTTTATTCCCATCTAGGGCAGGTACTGATCCAGAAGCTGTCCTTCAAGAAGCCTCTCTATCATCAAATACTCTAGAGCTGTCTTGTTCAATACAGTGACCACCCACCACTTGTATCTATTTAAATGTATGAAAGTGAAAAATTTCAAATTCAGTCAGTCGCACATTTTGAATGCTCAAAAGTCACGTCAGGCTATTGGCTACTGTGTTGTGGACAGTAAAAATTATAGAACATTTCCACCCTCACAGAAAGTTCGATGGAGTGAAATTCTGAGGGCGATAGAGCATACTCTGTCTCTGTCCTACATTTTCTATTCCCAAAACTGGAGACCTCGATAGACAGAACTGAATGGGAAAATGGGCGTGGTTTTGTCGGTTGACTATCTGCACAGTCTGAGAATAAGTAGCCACTCTTGCACTAGGACTGGAAGTTGGTGATGGAAAGAGTTGTCTCAGCTGAGGCCCCTGGCTGAACACATTCAAGCAGAGGATGGGTAGTCACGTGTGGGACACAAGGCAAGCGTGAGCGTGGGTATGCATGTGTGTGCATGTGTGCATATGTGTATGTGTGTGTGCACATGAGTATGTGTGCAGCACCTGAGTGTGTGTATGTGCTTACAGAATGCTGCAGAAGAGAGTCTGTATCAGATGACCTCCCGAGACCCATCTCCCTGCAGAGTGTATTCTATCCCTGTTCTTAATTTTAAAAATCCATTCTTCTATATCACTTCAGGATAAACATGCTTACAGTAACTTGTTATTTTCCTTTATGCAAACTGGATCTCTCTCTGTTCTGGTTTCAACTTTCTCTTTTCAATGGACTTAAAAAATCAGGCACTCATAGTATGGTGCATTTTCCAAAGTGGGGGACAGGCATCATGTTGGCATTTGAGAACATTTTAGGAGGCGTGTGGATGCTTCTTTAAATAATGTTGAGTCAGAAGTGAGAAAACGGTTCCCTTTCCGATGCCCTTTCCATTCTGATTACGTCCAGGAGAAAGTTTCATGTTGGTACTGGTCTTTAGCACCTTGTTCACAGATGTTAATCTCCCTTTTAACAAAGGGACAGGGAGTCTCAACCTCTGAGCCTTGAACAGGGAAGGGAAATCTAACCAGGATTTGATAACGTAGTGTCATTCTCATTGTATCTATTATTATGGTCAGTTTCTATTTATGGCAAGTGGTTTTGGTTTTCCATTTATGATGATAAAAATATTTATTTCTAAATAAATATAGTTAAGAGTCTATGTCAATAAAAACATCAATAGGGCAGACAGTCAGTAGAGAAAGGCCAAAATCATAAAAACAGTGCACGAATGATAGACATTTTGGAAGCCTCGCTCTGAGAGAAAGAATAATGGACATTGGAGTTAGAAGAGCTCTCATCAGAGGCCCAACGTTTTTGGCCCTTGGGCAAATTACTTTAGTTCTCTGCAAAAGGTGGGAAGTGGTGTGGGGAAAATACCTGTCACACCCCCTTGCTTGATAGGATGAACACATTTGGTAAATTGTGGGGTTGGGGGCCATATAGGCATAAGACATTATCACCGTTACCCTATGTCCATAGGATTAACAATCCTTCTTTTCTTCTAGACCAAATGGACACATTTAGAGTTATAACTGGATATAAATCCTTGAAGGCAAGGCTGACACTTCATGTAGTCACTGGGAATAGTCTAGTGGTTCTGCTGCGGATGGGGAGGATCAATGGAAACACTGGTTACTGTTCTGCCTCCTATCTTTTGGGAGGAATTTAGAGCAGTCTAGAGCCCCAGCCTCCACCCTCTTCTAGAACTCTACTCTGTACTCAGTCAGATGCACACAAGGATCTTGGGGGTGGCCTGTCATGATGTATTGTTTCTCGAATCAGGTGTTCTGCTAAACTGGGTAGGAAAAATGGTGTAACAGTCTTCTCATGGATCTTGAACTGGGGTTCCTGTACTCTTTAGTACATTCATTTCTCCTGGAGGTTTTGGATTTCAGCAGGTGGCATCCCATTGACCTGGGGACAGAACAGGAAATAGAAACAATCAGCAATTCATCAGTTTTTGACTGATCTTTGGCTTGTGGGAGAAAACTTGGTAAGATCCTGTGGAAGGAGAGAAAATAAAGTGATTTGTCTTATTCTTGATGAGGGATCAGAACCAGACATGTGAAGTTAATGTATAGGAAAAGGCAGCAAAAAATAATTAAAACATCAAACGTTGTTGTTACTAGATGCCGTTGAGTTGTTTCCGAGTCATAGTGACCCATGTACAACAGAATGAAACACTGCCCAGTCCTGTGCCAGCCCCACAATCTTTGCTATACCTGAGTCAATCATTGTAGCCACTATGTCAATCCCTCTTGTTGAGGGCCTCCCCCTTTTTTGTTGACCCTCCATTTTACCAAGCATGATATCCTTCTCCAGGGAATGGTCCCTTCTGACAACATGACCGAAGTAGGTGAGATGAAGTCTGGCCATTCTCGCTTCCAAGGAGCATTCCGGCTGTACTTCTTCCAGGACAAATTTCTTAGTTCTTCTAGCAGTCCATAGTACTTTCAGCATTCTTCACCAACACCTCAACTCAAAACCATCGACTCTTCTTCAGCCTTCCTTATTTATTGTCCAGCTCTTATAAGCATATGAGGCGATTGAAACACCTTGACTTGTGTCAGGTGCACCTTAGTCTTCAAGGAGATATCTTTGCTCTTCAGCACTTGAAAGAGGTCTTTTGCAGCAGATTTGCCCAATGCTATATGCCATCTGATATCTTGACTGGTTGCTTCCATTCGTGTTGATTGTAGGACCAAGTAATATGAAGTCTTTGACAACTTCAATCTTTTCTCCATTTATCATGACGTTGCTTATTGGTCCAGTTGTGAGGATTTTTGTTTTCCTTATATTGAGGTGTAATCCATACTGCAGACTGTAGTCTTCAATCTTCATCAGTAAGTGTTGTAAGTCATCCTCACTTTCAGCAAGCAAAGTTGTGTCATCAGCATATCGCAGATTGTTAACGAGTCTTCCTTCAATCCTGATGCCATGTTCTTCTTCATACAGTCCACCTTCCCAGATTATTTGCTCAGCACACAGATTGAATAAGTATGGTGAAAGGACACAACCCTGATGCACTCTCTTCTTTATTTTAAACCATACAGTGTCCCCTTGTTCTGTTTGAATGACAGTCTTGTGGTCTATGTACTGGTTCCTCATGAGTACAATTAAGTGTTCTGGAATTCCTATTCTTCTCAATGTTATCCATAATTTGTTATGATCCACACAGTCAAATGCTTTTGCATAGTCAATAAAACACAAGTAAACATCTTTCTGGTGTTCTTTGCTTTCAGCCAAGATCCGTCTGCCATCAGCAATGATATACCTCATTCCATGTCCTCTTCTGAATCCAGCTTGCATTTCTGGAAGTTCTCTGTCAATATACTTCTGCAACCAATTTTGAATTATCTTCAGTAAAATTTTACTTGTGTGCGATATTAATGATATTGCTCGATAATTTCCACATTCTGTGGGATCAGTTTTTTTTGGGAAGGGGTAAAAATATGGATCTCTTCCAGTCAGTTGACCAGGTAGCTGTCTTCCAAATCTCTTGGCATAGCTGAGTGAGTGCCTCCAGTGGGGCATCTCTTTGTTGAAACATCTCAATGAATATTCCGTCAATTACTGGAGCCTTATTTTTCCACCACTTCCTTCCATGCAGAAAACATCAAATAAATGGCACAAAATCATCAGAGTTGGACTTCAGTCAGCAAGTAAGATTTACCAAGAGGTTGAGATGTGTTGGGGAAGACTTCTCATAGCCAGCAAGCTATGAGAGGGACCAGGCTTTT